TTGGAGCAAACCATTTGGCTTCTTGTCCTAGGACCTGCCTCTGAGGGAACCCAAATTAAGATACCAATATTTCTCAAAAATGTCGACGGCCTAGGTTCTAGGGATTGTCTCTGATCCCATCTCCTGCTGAACTAGGGAGTCTGAGATCATTTCACTATTTGATATGGGCTGCCCTTTTTCTGTACTGCACTGAACCAAACCTGGAACTCAATCCTTTTTCTCCGTATAAATGCATGTGCATGCACACACAATAATCTAGTTTTCTATGCTGCATAACAAACTACCATAAATTTAGCGACTTCTAACAGCACACATTTATTATCTTACAGTTTCTGCAGGTCAGGAGTCCAGGCGTGGCTTAGACTACAATTATCCTGAGTGTCTCACCAGACTTCAGTTAAGGTATCAGCTGGTCTGACTTCTTTTCTGGAGCTCAGGGTCCTTTTCCAAGCTTGTGTTGTTGTTATGAAAATTCAGTTCCTATGGTTGTAAGAGTGAGATCCCTATTTTCTCGCTGGCTGAGAGTTGCCAGCATTTCCTAGAGGAGTCCAGCAGTTCCTGGCCATGTGGCTCTCTCACAACATGGCAATACACTGGACAATCTCACTCTGGTCTGTGTCTTCCATAATGTAACCCACTCAAGGGACCAGCTATCCTGACCCATCTGCCATATTCCTTTGGCTAGAAGCACGCGTACATACTGCATTTGAGTGTAGTCAACTTTTCTGAAAAGTTTTGCAGAAGACAAAGGAAGAGGGGTTTACAGTATAACAATGTTTTAATTTCCTTCATGTCCCCACCTCTTTCATCCCCTGTCTTTCTTCTCTGCCCTTTCCCTCTCCCCAAATTCTTATTTATTTTTAATGCAAAGCTGTCTTTTTGTTCCTTGCCTCTTCATGCTCAAGGCCTGTCTTAAGTTCTACTCCACTTGGTATATCTAGAGATTATTCTTCCTGAATTCCCTCACAGACAGGAATTTTGGTGCCGTTTGCTAGATTTTTTTTTTCATTCTGCTGCCAAAGATTATTTACAGTTCAGTGGCGGTGATAGATGTGACTCAATTAATAGCAGGAAGTGAATGTACAGGAGGCGGAGAGAGAGACAAATATAAAAATCACCACTAATGGGATGATATTAGTAAGGGCAATTTAGAAACCTCTCTAGTAGTATCATTTTTCCTGGAGACAGAGAAACAAGCCAAGTGGGTGGGACAGTCTTATATCAAACAGTAGAGTTATTTAAAACAGGATTTATTTATAAATCATGCGTGTGTGTGTGTGTGTGGATGAGAGAGATACCTTTTCCTGTCTTGACTATTAAGTAACTTCAAAAACAAGGTTTTTTGTTTTTTGGTTTTTTTTTTTTGCTTGTTTGGGGTTTTTTTTTTCAGTCTTCATTTTTATTACTCAAAAAAGCTTCATTTTCTTATTTAGCTTTCTGACTCTGTGCTTGGGCCTCCAACACTTTCACAATGATTTTCTGCTCCTCAGTAAGGAAAGCACGCTTGATCCTGTCCCGAACACATTTAGCACACATGGAACCACCACAGGCCCTGCTGACATGTTTTTCTGTTTTAGACAACCTCATAAGAACTTTAGGTCTCACAGCGTGAACCCCTCGAAGTCTGCCTGGGCACACTCCACATGCAGATTCTGGTGCTTTCCCAACCTTCTTGGTATAAAGGTAAACAATTCTGTTACCAGGAGTTCGGGACAGCCTGGTTTTGTTAGAGGCTGTATTGTAGGAAAGCCTACGACGGTACGTCAAACGCTGCACCATTTTGAGTGCCTCTAGACAGCTCCCAGAAGAGGAAAAGGAAATGGCGAGTTTAAAGGTCAAACATGACTGCCTGATGTTTGTTTTTAAATAAGGCTTTAGGAGTCCTGGGTCCATCAGTAGATAGCAGTTTAACTCTAGGCAAATTACTCAGCCCCGGTGTGACTCGGTTTCCTCATCTGAGAAAAGAAGTGAGAGAGACCAAGTTATCGCAAATGTCTCCTTGCTGCAGTGTGAGTCCACTGCTCGGTGGCCATGCCTAGAAGACCTTCAGTTCTTAGAAGACAGAGCTCATTTTTACAAATCCTCAGCCTGCTTTTCTGTTTTGTTTTGTTTTGTTTTGTTTTTCCAATTCCCACAGAGGTCTGCATGGGATGGTGACTCAGTTAAATCACTAGCTTCCTCTTCCTTCCGTTCTGGACACAGATTCTTCTAAGTTTCAGTTGGTGGCTATGTGTGTGCTTCAGGGGTCTGTCTGGGGGCTCAGTGCAGAGGTCTGCGTCCAGGAGGCCAGGGGCCACCATGGGTCCAGGGCTGAGGAGTCCAGATCCCAGAGCCCCAGAGGGGTTGCCAAGTGAGGAGTAGCCTGAGGCAACTGTGTTTAGCAAAGTGGCCAAGAGAAGTGGCCACCATGCTCAGAAGAGGACCATGCCCTAGAAATGAATATGTTGGTGCCTAGTGGAGGCAGGAGTGAGGGGCTTGGCTAAGCAAGGACATTACTGCCATCAGTCATCAGTCTACACTGTTACTGGAGCAGCCACAAGATGCAGACCTCAAAATTGAGTCCTGTGGGGAGACCCAAAGGAATGAGGAGTCACAATCCCTGCTCCAGAGAACCTTGCAGGCTAAGAGGAGATGGCCACAGTAACCACACTTTCCCATCCCAAAGCAGGCATGCACACTAACAAGCATAAATATATTTTTGTGATTAAGGAAATGTAATACCTATAATCAGGAGGTTCCTAGGGAAAAAAAAATCCCCAGCCAGCATAATCAACAATTAAATGAGACAGACACACCCGGAGAGAAAAACTCAAGGAACACTAGGCAGGTTAACACAAGGAAAGCCAGGGCAGCTGAGATCAACATGCTGTGTCATGTGTGAGACTATTACCTTGTGTCTCTGAAACCCAATTGCCTATCGGATCAGTGTCTACGCCTCAAAGTGAACCTGTCATTTCTGGGAATTCTGAAGGTGTGTCCACAACCTGGTCTGTCTTTGGCAGTCATCATTTCTTGCCCTCCTGCTCTCACTCCTCTGCCACACCCCTGCCCCCCGCAGCCTATTTGTCCCTTGGTCCATCCGCTACTTGGGAAGCACCCCAGCAAATGGATGGGCAAATGCTCATCCTTTCAATATTCACCAACTGTCTGTTGAGCATCTTCCGTGTGCCCTGCCCTGTACTAGGCACCAGGGATGTGGAGACAAATAAGACACAGCCCTTCAATCAAAGAGGTCTCTGTTTAAGAGAGAAAGGCTCATAGGTAAATGACTCTATGCTTCTAAAGTCCTACTTATCTCAAAAGGATTCCAAAACTATTCATTGTACACTCAGACAAAGGAAAGGTAGTGACTTCATGTCTTTGTCGCTGCTGTGATCTTCCACATGAGCCTCTCAGCCCTCGTGGGGGTGGAGGTGGGCAGAGAAAAATGAAATGTCACTCCACTGAGTGTTATAACGTAACGTAAGCCCAGTCTGGTCTCACCATTTTAACATTCTCTTTGGGCAGCTCAGCCAGCCCAGGCAATGGCTCCAGCAGCCTTTCCAAGTTCTTTCCCCAATACCAGCTCCTCTCTAGGAAGGGTTGAGGGTGAGTGGAGGTTCTGTGGCTGAGGTGACCTGTGGCAGCAGTGGGACACCTTGTCTGTGGACACATGTGGTATTGTCAGGACTGGTCTCTGCCCAGAATCTAGGTTGCTCCTTCAGTGAGTTGGATAAGCCCCATGCTGGTTCCCACCATAGCAGTCAGTGGCCCCGGCAGCTGCCTCTGGCCTGAAAATCTCTATACACCACAGCACCTTTGCTCCATCTTCTTCTTTCTGCCCCTTCTTTATCCTGTTAGCACCTCTGAATCCCCTCAAGGGCTTATGGGCACCGGGAGACCCTTAAAATTCTGTGTGGGTATAAAGAGCCCTAACCTCCTTCTTGAGAGCGGGGCAGGGGGACAAGGAAAACATTGATCTGGGTAGGGCTCCCTCTGTCACATTATTTTCCCACTGTCCTCCAGGATAAAAAGGCTGGCGTCACCTTTTCTATTTCCTGAACACCATATCCTCCTTTTCCATCCATCACGTAAATCTGAAGTTCCAGCCCCGGCAGGCGAAGAGTCCATTCATTTCGAACCCTGTGATCTGGTCCACGGCTGCCCATGATATGGTAAAGTAGTAGATAAAAGAAATTAGAATATCCTTTTGTCCCTAACAAAAGACTGGCTTTTAAGACTTTCATCTTGCTGATTTTGAAATACTTTCTTCAATATTAGAAGCTGACTATTGACTTTTTCTTTTAGTTTGTGGACCGGCTGTAACAAAAATTAGCTCTTTCAGAGGCACACAGGTGACTGAGAAGTCATAAACACAGAAATTCAAAAAGAAAAAACGTGCCATGTATGTATTTCAGAATATGTTTTGAAATTCCTCTTTGAAGGGTAACATCAGTGTTTCTGAATGCTTCTCTCCCTGCCTGGGCTCAGATGGTCTGTGCAATGATGCGTCAGTTCTAGAAAGGGTGGGCTCTCGCCAGTGTGTAAAAAAAAATAGAGAGAGAGGATTGCTACATGTATAAAACTAAGAGCAGGCTTAGAGATGACTAAGAGGGGAGTTGTGAGCTCACCAAGATCTAAAATCCTGGAGTGAATGAAAAAAGAGCAGAAGGCAGTGTAGAAAAAGTTTAAATGTCAACTGTGTAACAAAGAATTTGTTAGGCATTCTCTTCTACTTCATTCGTCCTCCCAACCATCCCTCCAAGGAAGCTATTGTTTTCCTCATTTTACAGAAGAAAAATCAGAAGTTCAAAGAGGTTGTAAGCCCCTCCCAAGATCATAGTTACTGAGTGTTGGGTGTGCTGGCAGCCCTTCTAGGAAGCAGTGGACACATCAGTGGGGGTCAGGCTAGAGGTAGGGTGTTTCTTCTCCTCTCGGCTGTTAAGCTGGTAACAGGACCCCAGGATGTTGACTGCTAGGGCATGACTTTTATCTTTGCTCTGACATCTGATATGTTCCAGAAAACTGGCTGGAGTTAGGAGAATGAGCAGTTGGCTTTTGGAAAGAGGTCCCAGCATCAATGTGATTCTATGATAGAAGCGAGAATTCCAAGCAGGATGAGAACAGGTATGAATGTAAAAAAATTCAAGCCATTTTCGAATCTTCTTCTTTTTGGGTAAAACAGGAGTTTTCCACTTCTTTAGCAATTCTCTGGAGTCTTTCATTCCCCTGATTTTTAAAAGCTCCTCTCCCTCCCTTTCAGAGTTTATTGGAAGTCTGTCCTGGAACGTACCCTCCTTCTCAGGAACAGGCAGAGTGAGGAGGAGAAAGGGTAGGTTGAGTGTGTGTCCAGCCCAGCTCCCTCACTGAGCCAGATCCTCGTCTCCCCTGGTAGTGGGGCTCAGCATAAACCAGGGACAAAGTGTTGGGCCACCAGTGCTCCCATGTTAGAACCTGCATTGGAGATTATCTCCTAAGCAGATACCCCCTTCCAAACTGGGGATGAAGGGCTTGGAAACTAGAAAATGCCAGGTCTGAGAGAGAGAGAAGCACAAGTGCAGCAGTACACAGAGCTCTGTGTATTCAGAGGGAAGTTGGCAGGGTTGTGTTCGGGCAGAGAAACTCCGAGTGGTACAAAGGGACGTGCCCAGAGTGGAGAAATCATGCTAATTTTCTGCACCAGAGCTGGAGAACGCCACCCAAAATGAAGAGAGAAAGGGGAGCCCTGTCCAGAGCTTCCAGAGCCCTACGCCTCACTCCATTTGTCTACCTTCTCCTGCTCCAGACAGGTAGGAGACCAGAAGGGTAACAAGGGGTCTGGAGAAAGGACCCAAGGCTTTTACAGGAGAGGGAGGGGAGGGTTGAGGGCCTGGATGCCTTTGGGGTGGGAGGAGGGGAGAGTGCTCAGCTGTTGTGGGAAGCATCTCAGTGAACCCAGGCATTAGTGTTGAATGTACTTCTTCATTCCCTGTGCCTCCCACCCAACACTTGCCCCCTCCCCCAAAAGGCTGCATAACTTGGTAGCTCCAACAGCATTCAGTACATTAGATGGAGGGCACTGGGCCATTTCTTATGGGATGGTTTGTTGGCGTGGGCCAGTCCCGCATTCTTTCCAAAGGATTATGGTAGGGCTTGGAGGGAGGGTAGGGGAAATCTTGCTTTTGTACCTCCCCAACCCCCCACTCTGGCTTCTCTGAGTGTAAAACAACAAGGGAGATGAAAGAAGCTTTGAAGATACTGAGTCTGCTGGTGTGGGACAGTAATACTAACCTATCCATTACCAGCGCTATGCCACAGATACTTACCTCCTGTGTCGCCCCCTACCAACTCCTCGGAGAACTGATCTGACTTTAAATATTCATATTTAAGTGTATACGCATACATGCACACTCAATTACAGAGCGCCTGGGAATTCAGAACTTAGTGGGGCAAACAGAGGCAAAGATCATTTTAGGGTGAGGGTGGGAAGTGTCTGCAGTGAATGTAAAAGGATGAGAAAAAAACAGGAGCGTGAGTGGGCACTGGAGTTGGGGAAATGGGCAAAGGTTATCAGCTGGAAATGGCCCTACGGGTTGGGCAGAGCAGAGCAGTTTATCCGTGCTGGAGAGGAAAGTATGAATTGAGTTATGCAAGAGCCTTGGAAAGCACACTCAGGAGTCTGGAATGTTATCTGCAGATGATGGATAGAGGACAGAAATTGAATTATTTTTTTTAATTGGGGACTGGCAGGATGAAGGGTGCCTTTCACATAGCTTGGGCTGCAATGTGGGAAACTGGAGGCAAAAAAGGTACAAAAGGAAATTAGTATTAGTTTGCTAGGGCTGCTGTAAAAAAATCGCCACAAGCTGGGTGGCTTAAACAACAGAAATGCATTGCCTCACAGTTCTGGAAGCTAGAAGTTGGAGATCATAATATAGACAGGCCATGCTTCCTCTGAAGGTCCTAGGGAAAGGAACCTTCTCAGATCTCTTTCCTCACTCCTGGTAGTTCCTTGGCTTGTGGCAGCATCATTCCAGTCTTCACATGGCACGCCCCCTATTTACATGTCTGTGTCTAAATTTCCCCTTTCTATAAGGACAGATACTGGAGTAGGTTCATCCTCTGCTTAGTATATTAGATCTAAAAAATTACCCTATTGTCGAATTAAGTCACATTCTGAAGTACTGGGGTTTACAGCTTCAACATGGGGATTTGGGGATCATGGGACATGCTTCAGCCTATAGCAGGGCTATTGCAATCTTCCAGGAGGAAAATAACATGGACTGGAATTAGAATGAAGATAGTAGGAATGTGGCGTGTTGAGATATTTTCTAAGTAAAGTCAGGACATAGTGAAGATCCAAAGAAACCTTAAAGAGAGAGAAAGAGAGAACTCAATTTTTAATGTTCTGGCCATGATATGGAAAAATGAAACTTACCTGAATTCATCACAGGCCAACTGATAGAACATTCAAATGAGTCTTTTTTAAAAGCTAGGACATTAACTGGCAGCCATGAACATAGTAAGCCATACGTCTACATAATCTGATTTTCAAGGTTTTACTCTCTCAGATCCTAGAGCTATTCCATCCTTTGGGGACCCAATAGAAAGAAACAAGTCCCTCACCTGGGTTCTACCCTTTTTAGCCCCAAGTTCACCTCTTCATGGTAGGTGCTATTTTTCTTTTTATTGTAACTGAAAATTACAAGTAGGATGATGTATTTGGCATAAAGATACAGTTTTATGAACCCTTAAAAAGTTAACAAGCCCATGTAATCAGCCCCAGATCAAGAAATAGAACATTTCAGCACCTCAGAATCCCCCCCCACATTATTTCAGTTACTACCACCCTCCTTATGAGATTACAGGGGTACCCTGACTTCTAATAGAGATTAATTTTGCATGTCTTTGAACTTTCTACATGTCTTGCTTCTTTTGCTGAACACCAAATTTGTAACATTCATCTTTGTTGTTGTAATTTGTTTAGTCTCATTGCTGTATATTCCACTGTGTGAATATACCCAATTTACTTGTTCAACTTTGATAGATACTTGAGTTGCTTCCAAACCAATGCAACCAACTCAGTTCCATTGGGGATTTATGGATAGAATTGTTAAAACATTCTAGCACATATCATTTGGTGAACAGATATACACATTTCTTTGAGGGGTCTACCTAGGAATAGAATTGCTGAGTTGTAGGGTGTGTGTAGAGTGTGTATGCTCACCTTTAGTAATTATGAAGAGTTTTCAAAAGTGGTTGTATCAATTTATACTCCTACCAACATATGAGAGTTCTAGATGATCCAATAATAGTATTTTATCCTTTTCATTTTGGCCATTCTAAAGGATATGAGGTGGTATCAAATTATAGTTTAAAAAGTGAATTATTATGATAATGAAGTTGAGCTGTTTCATATTTTTATTAGCCATTTAGATATCCTTTTTATTGGTGAAGTATCTGTTACAAGTCCTTTGCCCATTTTCTACTGAGTTGTTTGCATTTTTTTTCAATTACTGATTTGTAGGAGTTTAAAAAATACATTTAGTACCAAGTGCAGTGGCTCACACCTGTAATCCTAGTGCTTGATTCATTAGTCTCGGTTACTTGAGAGACTGAAGTAAGAGGATCTTTTGAACCCAAGAGTTTGAGGTTGCTGTGAGCTATAATGATACCACGGCACTCTATCCTGGGAGATGAAGTGAGACTCTGTCTCAAAAAGATAAAAAAAAAGACATTTTGGGTATGTATCTTTTGTAGGATATATGTATTGCAAATCTCTTCTCCCATGCTATGGCTTGCCTTTTCACTTTCTAGACGGTCTCTTTTGGTGAACAGAAGCTCTTAATTTTATTAAGAGAATTTTCTCTTCTTATTTTATGGTTACAACTTTTGTATCCTAAGAGATCTATGTCTGCCCTCAAGTCAAGGAGACACTTTCTTATGTTTTCTTTTTTAAAGGTAATTGTTTTTCCTTTCACATGTAGGTCTACAGATCCGTCTGGAACTAGCCTTTGTGTAAGGTCAAGGTCAAGATCCATTTTAGATGAATAGTACCCTCAAGTACTATTTGTCAAAAAACCAAAAACCAAAAAACCACCTTTTCCCAATACACTGCAGTGTCACCTTTACCATAAATCAAATGACCCTATTTAAATCTGTTTTTGTACTTTTCATTCTGCTCTATTGACCTATTTGTCTATCTTTGTGCCAAGATCACAAAGTGAACCTGCTGGGATTTTGATTTGTATTGTGTTAAATTATAAATTAGTTTGGGAAAACTGATAGCTTAACAGTAATGATTATTCCAGTCCACAAATATGGTAAATCTCTGTGTGCCGCCTTAATATCTACATAGTATTAGCTGGGTACACATTCCTGAACATCTACACTCCTTAGGGAGTGGACAAAAAACCACTGACCCTTTTCTTCCTGGATCTCAAAGGCCTTCTTCAAAGTTTCTGTTTCCTGAGTTACTCCTCCATCCCTGAATGATCCAGGCTTCAGATGTTCAAATGAGTTTACACTTCTGTAAGCATTTGGAAACTGTCAACCAAGAGATGAGAGTTAAAACAATGAGAATGGGTGATATCACCTAGGAGGAGGAAAAACAGGAGATGAAAATGAAACATCGAGTCACCCCACGGTTTAAAGAGGAAGGCAGATGAAAAAGAGCCCGTTAAGGAGACAGAAAGGGAACAGTCAGAGAGATAGAAGGAGAAATAGAAGCCTGCAGTATCTAGAAAGTCAAGGGCATTTTCAGGGGGTAAATCAACACCAATCTATCAAAGAGGGTCCAGTATGGCAAAGACCTGGCAGGATAACAACGTGAGAATGTATAGAATGTGGTAACAGTATACAGTGATACACCTTCACTATAGCAGCCGAGGAGGTTGGTTCTCAAATCCTCAGTAATTAGGGAAGACATTTAAAACTGAAAGCAGAAAGAGTGTTTCTTCTTTCCAAGCTGTATGCTACCCTTGGATTCTGATACACAATTCCGATCACCAAATCTCACAAAGGAAATAATAGTTAGAGAAAGCCCAGAGACGGGCACCTATGATCCTCCAGGGCATGGAGAGATTTCTTTATGGAGAAAGACCCAAACAAAACAGAAAACTCTTCAGATAAAAAGAGACTTAGGTGATGGGCGGCACCTGTGGCTCAGTGAACACGGCACCAGCCACATACACTGAGGCTGGCGGGTTCGAGCCCACCCGGGGCCTGTTAAACAACAATGACAGCTGCAACCAAAAAATAGGTGGGTGTTGTGATGGGCACCTGTAGTCCCAGCTACTTGGGAGGCTGAAGCAAGAGAATCACTTAAGCCCAAGAGTTGGAGGTTGCTGTGAGCTGTGACACCAGAGCCCTCTACCCAGGGTGACAGCTTGAGACTCTGTCTCAAAAAAAAAAAAAGAGAGAGACATAGTTGTGTCCTTCCTGAGAATAGAGAATATAGATAAGGTGTATATAGACCAAACCTGAGACTATAAGTTTGGTACCATTCCTCTGACATTTTTAAAAGGCAAATATAAGGCAATTATTGGCAAAAGGAAACTTTAACCCAGCAAAAGGAGCACATGAAAAGAAGGAGATGATGATTTCTTTAGGAGAAGAGGCTATTAAAGAATCTAATCTATACATTCTTATACTTTGAAGTCTGACATTCCTTGGGATCACAGCAGGACAAAATCCTGCCGGAGGTGCAGGGAGGGGCACTGACCTAACCCACGGTGGCATCATTTAGGTGGATAGGTACATCTTGCTGAGATCTCACTTTGCTTTTGTTCAGCTTCAAGTGGGAACAGAGACTTTCTGCATAATGATGCCTCAGGGACAGAGATTAAGTTAATCGCTTTTCAAGGTTGAATAGCCTTAGTTCTTTTATTTCCACTCTGGACCTTAGTTGTTAGCCATTTCCTCATTTCCGTGTCCTTCTTTGGCTCCTGTCCCAGTTCTCTGTGTCCCTTGAAAGCTGTGGAACCCTGAACTTGACACAGACTATGATTTTGGCTAGAGTTTTTGGGAAATAGTGTTTGCTCAGCAAAAGACTCTCTCTACCAACTTCTGAGAAAGACTCCTGTGTTTGCTTATGAACATGTGTGTATATATCCCTCTGACTCCTGTCCACAGCCACATTCACAGTAGTGATGAGGATAATCACCTAGATGGGAATGAGGCCTAGGGCAATCCATGGGCTGTAGCTTCTCCAGCATTTTTGTCCAGAATAAATCAAGTTTAAATTGGGAGAAAGAACAGACTTCAGAGGGAAAGACATCACACAAAGGCTACCGGGCCCTTGGATGGGATAGAAGAGTGTGGAAACCAAGGAAGCTCAAGGGAGGTGGGAAAGAGCAGAAGGGAGGGGGGAGTCTCTTCCTCTTGTCCTTGGGGCTGTCAATGTCCAGCCTCCAGGAAGAAGGAGAGCCCTCAAAATCAGGTGTTAAGGGTCATCTGCAGACTTGGTGAACTCCAAGATGTGTCTGCATATATAACCCTCATGGGCATACCTCACTGCTTCAGACTGGGTCCTGAGAAAGGGAGTAGATGTTCCTAGGTATTTGGTCACCACCACTATGGCTTTTAACGAAGCTCAGTGATTTTTTTCAGGGCTACTTCCAGTTGTATATACCAAAGCCTATCTACCTACTCAGGGAAAATTGAAAGCTTGCTTTTCTAAACCAATCCAAACCTGAGACCTAGCAGTTGCTAGGCAGGAAATCCCATTTAAATAATCACAGACAATAACCACCTACCACCACCTAACCACCTACCCAGTTGCAGGACTGTCCTGCACGGAGTAGGCCTAGTACAATGTGGAGTGAAGATAGGGGAAGGTCTTGGCATGACTGGGAAGTGTCTTCAAGCCCCTAAGCTTCCCCATTTCCTGGCACCATCTCAGGACACACTCCTTTCTTTGTGAATCTTATGATCCCTTGCTATCTCCATCTTTCTGCACTCCCAATCCCCAGTCAAGAAAATCTGATTCACCCTGAGGTTTAATGCCGTATAAGCTTCAGGGAGAAGGGATCCTTTTGTCTGCTTTGCTCAAGGACATAGAAAAGTACCTGGCACATAGAAGGTGCTCAGTAAATATCTCTATGAATGAAGCACATAACATTTTGGGTTAGCTGAAATACTCTGCAAGAGGAAGGCAAAGGGGAAAAGTGCCGGAGCTGCAGAGGGCTTGATGATAGCAGGAGAGAGGGCCATGGGAGGACAGAGGAGCAGGGGCACAGAGCCACCATAGGAGAGTAGATGGCACTGAAAGGTAAGAAAGTAAGGACTGGCAGGTAGGAAGGGCCCAGAGGGGCAAAGCAGTGGGAGATCAGAGGGCTTAAAGGTGGGTGTGGGCTAAGGAGCTCAGGGCCTGATGCTGCCCTCTTCCCCCTTCTCCATGGACCTCTCCTTACAGAACCTCTGGAGGGTGTGAACATCACCAGCCCAGTGCACCTGATTCATGGCACTGTGGGGAAGTCGGCCCTGTTCTCTGTGCAGTATAGCAGCACCAGCAGCGATAAGCCAGTAGTGAAGTGGCAGCTGAAGCGGGACAAGCCAGTGACCGTGGTGCAGTCCATCGGCACGGAGGTCATTGGCACCCTGAGGCCTGATTATCGAGATCGTATCCAGCTCTTTGAAAATGGCTCCCTGCTTCTCAGTGACCTGCAGCTGGCTGATGAGGGCACCTATGAGGTCGAGATCTCCATCACCGCTGACACTTTCACGGGAGAGAAGACCATCAATCTCACTGTGGATGGTAAAGCTCTCTGGCAGGGAAGGGGGAAGGACTGGTGCCTGGTCCTGGGGAAAGCTCTGCCCAGTACATTAGCTAGACCCAGGGAAAACCATGGCACTTAAGAGCAAGACTGAGCCAAGCTGCATACATCAGAAGTTGGCGGATAGGGCCAGGAACAGTGGCTCATGCCCATAATCCTCGTGCTTTCAGGGTCCAAGGCAGGAGAATTGCTTGAGGCCAGGGGTTGGAGACCAGCCTGGGCAACAAAGCAGAACTCAGCAGAACTGTACAAATAAAAGAAAGAAAGAAAAGAAAAGACAGAAATAAAAGCTAGCCATGTGTGGTGGCATATGCCTAAAACTCCAGCTACTCTGGGAGGTTGATATGGGAAGATCACTTAAGCCCAGGGGTTTGAGGTTGCAGTGAGTTATGATGATGGCACTAGAGCCTCAGGCAATAGAGTGAGATCCTGTCTCAAACAAACAAAAACCTCAAAACCAAAAAGTTGGCACAGCTAACATGTATAGAGTACACTTACCACGTGCCAGAAACTATTTTAAGTGCTTTGCAAATGTCAATTCATGTAATGCTTATTATAATCTAGGGATAGTCACTATTCCCATTTTGCAAATGAGGAAAGCTAAGGACAGAGAGATTGAATAATGTGCAGAGGGTTACATCGCTAGTAAGTGATAAAGCCGAGATTTGAACCCAAACAGTTGGACCTAGGCTTAGCCCAACTAAAATATCATCCAATCTGGATCTGTGTAAGAACTTAAAGCCTAGTGGCATTGGAAAGGTATTTGGGAAGAAGGGAATGAGGGCAGACACCACTGCTATGCTGTTCAGCATTATACACCCTGTGGCTAATTGGCACTCAATAAATACGGGGTGCCTCAAAAGTCACCATACATAGGGAAAATGAGAAATGGTAGTGAAATGTGCCTTTATTTACAAACTAGTCTCTATGGGTTGGCCACACGTCTTTCTACACACACATGAAGTCTTCCCTCCTACTCACAGAGAACAGGTTCTGAGAGAGGTTTCTATGCAAATTTTCCTATGAATGCAGATTCTTGGAATGTCCTGTAGTTGGTAAATGAGTGAATGAATAAGGGATGGGAAAGAATTGAGGATCCCTGAAGGGTCTTCTCAGAGTTGGAAGGTTGGGAGAGAAGAATAAGGAAGGGAGAAAGCTTTCTAGCTGATGGATGACTCACAGACTGCCCCACTCCGGGTCTCAGTGCCCATTTCGAGGCCGCAGGTGCTAGTGGCTTCCACCACTGTTCTGGAGCTCAGCGAGGCCTTCACCCTGAACTGCTCCCATGAGAATGGCACCAAGCCCAGCTACACCTGGCTGAAGGATGGCAAGCCCCTCCTCAATGACTCTCGAATGCTCCTGTCCTCCAATCAAAAGGTGCTCACCATCACCCGTGTGCTCATGGAGGATGACGACCTATACAGCTGTGTGGTGGAGAATCCCATCAGCCAGGGCCGCAGCCTGCCCATCAAGATCACCGTGTACAGTAAGTCTCCCTGCCTGCTCTCCTTTAGGACTCAAAACCCTGAGAGGCAGGTGCCCATGAGGGACTGAGAACATCCCAGAGGGAGTGTCACTACAGGGGGTGCAGAGATAGGGGCCAACTGCCCATGGAGGACCACAACAGGTGGACAAGTGGGCTCCATGCAAGTCCACCATCAACCAGCCATCATGCTGTCTGTGCCTTCTTTTCTCTTCCTTCTACCACGGGAATCTCTGCTCACCATACCTGTCCCTCCTTTGAGGACTTTCCCACCTCTCTGCTTCTCTGTCTCCCTAGGAAGAAGCTCTCTTTACATCATCTTGTCTACAGGAGGCATCTTCCTCCTTGTGACCTTGGTGACAGTCTGTGCCTGCTGGAAACCCTCCAAAAAGTCGAGGTAACTCTCCAAGTTCCACACCCTGAGCACTAATCTTCAATCTGTCCTAACCCCACGCTCTATTCTTTTCTTAAGTCTCTTTAAAAGCCTTTCCTCCCAGGACTCTGCACCTCTTCCCAGGAGATCCATTTTTCCATTGTGTATAGCACGGCATCCTGTGTTCACAACCCCCACAACCCCAGCACAATTAACAATGGTTTCACTTGCTGAGCACCTTTTCTGGGCTAGGCACTGTGGCTGTGGCTAGCATGCCACCTTTCAAGTATGACTATCTGCAGTTTACAGATAATGATACAGGCACTTAGATTTGTGGCTTGCCCACGGTCACAATGCTAGGGACAGACCCAGGGGGCCAACCTACATGTGACTCATTCCAAAGCTCAGGGACTACCTCCTGCTCCCACTGCACCCAGCCCATCTTCCTCTCACAAGGCCACTTTAATGGACAGCAGATCCCTGCCTGTGTTCCCCCTAAATCCTCTCCTGCTCATAAGCAATAGCTCTACTCGTGGGGGGGCGGGGGGCTGGATTAATTTGCAGGAAGCAGAGGAAGTTGGAGAAGCAAAGCTCCCTGGAATACATGGATCAGAATGACGACCGCCTGAAACCAGAAGGTGAGCTCCCAGCCACCCACTCACCCATGCCATCGCCACTCAGATCAGTGGGATGCTGGGAAAAGGCAGAAATGGGCAACAAGGAGACCAGCTCTGCAGGCCCCCTTCCTCCACCAACTGCACGAAGACTGCAGAGCAGGGAAAGGTGCCGCCCAGGTAGGACCAGGGGTGTTCAGACACGTTGGTAGAGGTTGTGATGGGTCGGCCTGGGGGGTAAAGAGCATAGGTGCTGGCTGGTGGACACAGTCTGTGCTTGGGCCAGCCGTTCCATCCTTTCCCCTGTACAGCAGACACCCTCCCGAGAAGTGGAGAACAGGAGCGCAAGAACCCCATGGCACTCTACATCTTGAAGGACAAGGTGAGCTGGACACCCCACAAATAGGCAGCGAACCCCCATCCTTTATGTGCCTGGCACCAGGGAGCCGTCCCATATCATTTTCGCTTTCCGGTACTCAGAATAACCCTGTAAAATATTTGTGTTGCCCCCTTTCAGAGATTAGAAAAATAAGGCCAAGAGATTGATTAAACGACTTGCCCAGGTTTAAACGAGTGAATAAACCCAGGTTTTTGGACACCAGTTCTGGTGATTTCCCCTCTATTCCACAGCTGCCTCTGTCCCAGGCTGTCAGAGACAAGTGGGGAGAGGAGAATAAAGGGACAAGGCACTTAAGTTAAGGCATTTTGACATTCACGGCACACCTACTGTGTGCCAGGCCCCGGGCTGAGTGTGGTGTACTGCAAGAAAACCCAGACCTATCTATGTCCGGGGGGGGGGGGACTGCGCCTCTCTCACCGGGTACCCCCAGAACCCTCTAATACAGGCAGCCTTGCAGACTAGCCGGCTGCCCGCTGATCCCCGTGGCGCGTGTCCTTGCAGGACTCGCCAGAGTCGGAGGAGAACCCCGTCCCGGAGCCTCGGAGCGCGACAGAACCCGGCCCTCCTGGCTACACCGTGTCGCCCGGAGTGCCCGGCCGCTCGCCGGGGCTGCCCATCCGCTCCGCCCGCCGCTACCCGCGCTCCCCAGCGCGTTCCCCCGCCACCGGCCGGACGCACACGTCGCCGCCCAGGGCCCCGAGTTCGCCCGGCCGCTCGCGCAGCGCCTCGCGCACGCTGCGGACTGCGGGGGTGCACATGATCCGCGAGCAGGAGGAGGCCGGCCCGGTGGAGATCAGCGCCTGAGCCGCCCCGGGACCCCCAGAGAGGCGCCGGCGCTCTACGCCCCCGGCAGCCTAGGGGACGCCCGGGAGCTGGCGCGGTGCGAGCTGGGCGAGGGGAGCCCCGCGGGGCGCCGGGGTCTGGGAGGACGCGCGTAGGTGTGCGTAGAAGCGGGGTTGCAGCGGGGGCGGCGGAGTGTGGATCTATTGGTGAACCGGGTCGTGTGTGTTCTCAGCAAGTACGGGTTGTGCCCTCTTAGGACCGCATAGATTATTAAATTTCCATCCCAATCCCCAAAAGGGTTTTTATGGAAACTAACATCAGTAACTTCACTCCCAGTGACTTTCCTGTGCTCTTCCTAGGGAGCACTTCTATTTCCCACCCACTGTTCTTCCCTCCCAACCAATGTCTGAGTCCTGGAGCACATTTTAGACAAACCCAGATTAGGGAGGCCACTTTCTCAAAATGCACGACTTAAACTAAGATGTCACATACCGGTCACTGGGTGCACAGGGGCTACTCTGAGCACCCAGAGATCACCGTAAAGATAGTGCATCTTGCTTGGGTACCTACTACCTGGGTAATGGAGGAGCATAAACACATCCCTTTGCCCCTGACCTGGGCCCTAGCAAGGGCAAAAGACTGCAGCCTGCTGTGCTGTGCTTGGCCTCCTCCTGAAGCCTCCCGTGTCAAGCATTCCTTCCGTTTCTGTTCTTGAATAGAAGACAGGGATGGGCTTGTTTCTATACAGAAGTGGATTCCCACTCCGTCCTCTGGCCCAGATCAAGTAAGAAACTGTTTTTAAGCCGCCTGAGCCAGAACGAGACTTCGTCTCTAAAAATAGCCAGGCATTGTGGCTGATGCCTGTAGTCCCAGCTACTTGGGAGGCTGAGGCAAGAGAATGACTTAAGCCCAAGAGTTTGAGGTTGCTGTGAGCTGTGATAACACCAGCACTCTACCTAGGAGGGCAACAAAGTGAGACTCTCTTAAAAAAAAAAAAAAAAAGAAAGAAAGAAAGAAAGAAACTGTTTTCAACCCTCCAACTCATACCTTCTCCCTGGCTTCCTCACAAAACAAGCCTTTCAAACAATCATTATCCTCCAGTGGTTCCCAACCTTCCTAATGCCACCGTGAGTCCCAGCCATAAAATTATTTTTGTTGCTACTTCATAACTGTAATTTTGCTACTGTTATGAATCATAATGTAAATATCTGATATGCAGGATGGTCTCAGGGGACCCCTGTGAAAGGGTCGTTCGACCCCCAAAGGGGTCGCGACCCACAGGTTGAGAACCGCTGCTCCAGAAGGTTGTTGAGCTTCTTCCACCTGTAAAGAGAATAAGGTTCTAATCCCCCCCAACATGGCTGAGGGTGGAGAGTCATGGGAACACGTTTCAACCTTTGGCCTCTACCCCGACCGGCACCATCCTCTCTGGTCCCCAGATGCTCAGATCCCCAGATACAGGACAAGAGCAGACTCCCTAATCACACTGACATCAGATAAGGAGAGGGTGGCCACCATGCAGCCAGGCCATGCCCGTGCCTCCACCTCTTGCACACACAGTTCATAGGAGAGGCAGTAATCTGCTGTGTGAGGTGACAGCGATTTAAAAGCTGAAAGAGAAGGAGGCCCTCTGTGTGTTCCTTCCTCTCTTCCCCAATGCCTCCAAGCCTCGGCCCCTCCCTGACCTCTTAAGCTCTAGCTCTGTCTGTCTCTACAATCCCCCGGATCAACTCCGTTGGCCCCTGATACCTACCACCTCCATACCAGGGCAAGTTTTATCCCACCCTAAGGGCACCAGCATTTCTAGTTTGCTTCCTCCGCCCTCATCCCATCAGCACGCCCCTGTCAGCATCCAGTCCCTGCGTACTTCCCCAGGCTCATTTGAGAAGCTCTTTGCAGCTCCCCTAGCTTCCCAGGTGCCTCATCGTCCATGAGATAATGCATGTAGAGGAAGGTTGCTCAGGCAGGTGGACTTGGAGAGGGGTACCTGCTGGTCAGCCGGGAGATGCACAGGTGAAGGTCAGGGTCATAGGAGAGTATACCATACCCTGGTGCTGAATCCCCGAGGGGCCGGCTTCCCAGGCTCAAGCCAAATCTGCCTTGAATTGGGGTGGTAAGTAAGGAAGTGGTTTTTTGTTTCGTTTTGTTTTGATCTTCATCTTTGTATTATAAGCATCACATACTGGATGCTTAATAAACTTTTGATGAAATGAAATGACAACTTTATTCCATTTAAGCAAGGAGAACTAAACGAACAGCTCAAACTTACCAGTTATTTCCCTTTTTTCTTCTCACTTCTTTCACCATCCTTTGCCCTCTTTCTAAACCCCAACTCATCCACTCTAAAAGAGTCATCACTCATCCATCCACACATCTACTCATTCAGATGTTCTTTAATTTATTCAACAAACATTTGTTTGTCTACCACGAACCAGGCCATGTGCTAGACAGTGGGGATAAAGCATAACTATGTCAGGAAGATGGATAAGTCAACAGATTATGACAATACAGGATATAAAATGTGATGACAGCCGGGCACAGTGGCTCACGCCTGTAATCCTAGCACTGTGGGAGGCTGAGGAGGGAGAATCGCTGGAGCTCAGCAGTTTGAGACTCACCTGAGCAAAAGTGAGACCCCGACTCATGAAAAAAATGGAAAAACCCAGCCAGGCACCTTGGCGAACACCTGTAGTCCCAGCGGCTTCCAGAGGCTGAGGCAGCGGGATGCCCACAAGCCAGGAGCCTGAGGTTGCAGTGAGCTACCAAGCCACTGCACTCTGCTCAGGGGCACAGGGTGGGACTCTGTCTCTACCAAAAAAAAAAAAAGGAAAGAAATAAAAAATAAGCAACGAAATAAAAAAAAATTTAAAAACAAAAATTTTAATAAAAAAATAAATAAAATGCGATGACAAAAATTGATGCAAGGTGCTCTGAAAATATGTAGAGGAGTCATCTAACCCAGACTAAGGAATGCTGGCAAAGGTATCTTGGAGGAAAATGTACTTGAGTGTAGTCTTTAAAAAAAAAAAAAAAAAAGATTATTTATTTATTTATTTATTTTCCTTGAGACAGAGTCTCGCTATGTCCTCAGTAGAGTGTGATGGCATCACAGCTCACAGCAATCTCAAACTCTTGGGCTTAAGCAATTCTCTTGCCTCAGCCTTCCAGTAGCTGGGAGTACAGGCACCCATCGCAATGCCTGGCTATTTTGTTGTTGTTGTTGTTGTCATTGTTGTTTAGCAAGCCCTGGCTGGGGTTCCAACCCACCAGCCCCAGTGCGTGTGGCCTGCACCCTAACCACTGAGCTATGGGCGCTGAGCCTTGAGTGTAGTCTTAAAAGATTAGTTGGTTAATCTTATTTTTAAAAGGATGAAAGAACACAATCCAATCAGAGAGGCATGTATAAAAGCTTAGAGGTGTATGAACACAAGGAGTAATTCAGGGTACTGAGCCATGGCAGTGGATTAGATTATTTGGGGACAATGTATAGAGTAGAAGGTGAAGAAGAAAGCTGCAGATAGATTTCTGAGGACATAATTATGTGAAAATAGGTTAAAAGGACCTCAAAAAGAAAGCTAGGGTGGCGCCTGTGGCTCAAAGGAGTAGGCACCGGGCCCCATATGCCAGAGGTGGTGGGTTCAAACCCAGCCCTGGCCAAAAACTGCAAAAAATTAATTAATTAATTAATTAAAAAGCTAAAAAGGCATAGTCAGTGAGATAGGAGGAAATATAAGAGATAATGGGGAAAAAGGAGATAATAGTATCCACAATCACAAAAAGAGGGTTTCAAGGAAGAGTGAGCATTCAGGAGGGGGAGGGGATGTCACATATGAAAAAGAGTTAAAAGTACAGATTAAGTTTGTCAATAGAGGGATCATCAATTAACTTGGTGTTAGTCTCAGACCTGTAGTGGAGCTTAAAGCCAGGTCACAAGAGGCAAAAAGGGGATTGCTATGAAAAGAAAAGTATTTATGCTAAATACTTGTGACTCGATGCCTGAGAGGTCCTCTTGTTTCACAATAACTAGGTCCTGCTTTAACTACATTTGTTTTGCATTATTGACCTTCGAGAGAAGGGGTGGGAGTGAGGAGTTAAAAACTGCTTAATTTTTAATGCCTGGTACCACTGTCACAATTTACACGGCAATATAACTGGTGTCATGAAAAGGAAAAAGAAAAGCTACAACAGATAAAAGACCTCAGGGCTATATATCTGCATGGACACTGTATTGCATTAATCAATAGCTGCCTTTTTGCTAACTATAGCTATGACAGTTCTGAACAAGAAAGATTTTCTATTGAAGCTGCAGTAACTTTTTCTGACTATTGTTCCTTCCGTGGCAGATTTTTACAGTTCCTCTACTGCATTTGGGACAATTATCCTGAAATAACTTGCAACTTTCTGGACAACTCCTTGCTCTCTCCCTTGCTAAGAACTGTGGCTTTTTTCTGCTGTTTATATTCTTTTTTTTTTTTGCAGATTTTGGCCAGGGCTGGGTTTGAACCCGCCACCTCCAGCATATGGGGCCAGTGCCCTACTCCTTTGAGCCATAGGCTCCGCCCATTTTCTGCTGTTTATAAAATCTGCTGCTGCCACATCCACTGATTCCACCATCATATCCATAACCACTCCTATAGGCATTGCCTGAGATTCTTCCATCAAAACTTCCCCCTTTCATGGGTCCATAATTTGATCACTGTTGTTCTTTAATTTCCTCCTTCATTGTGACCATCGTATCTTCCACCCATATATCATACCACCACCACTTTGGATATATCACCAACATCATATGACCACTACTATCACTTCCTCCCCAACTACCTCTGCTATCACCACCTCTATCACCATAGCCTCCTCTTCCATCAAATTTTCCACCATGGCCAAAATCACCTCCACCAAAGTTTCCTCTACAACCCATAAAGCTGCCAGATCCCCCTCCACGACCTCTCCATGTTCCAGCAGACCCCATCTCTTGTTTAGAAGGACTTTTTCACTTCACTATACATTCATATTATAGTGTTTTTGACCAATTTTATCAACTGTATCATGATCATCAAACGTTACAAAAGTGAATCCTCTTGGTTCCATTCTGCCGGTCTTCCATAATTTAACACTAGAAAGTTCATAGATATCATTTGCCGCATTAACAGATTTTAAAAGGCCCTCACACTAGATGCAAAAAAAAAAAAAAATTGTAAACTTTAATCCTTAAGGTTTTCAGGATCAAATCTCTTTTTGGAGTTGTTGTTGTTAGAGAAAATCATTTTATTGAACAGTAGGGACCACAGTGGGGACAAAAAGGGCCAGGAATAAAGGAACCTATGAGCAGCAGGGGCTGTTGCTTGACGTTCTCCATATCATTCCTGCTCCATGCAGCAGACCCCCTGGATCTCTTCATTCTGCTTCCTGAGACCCCAGGCAGGAGGCTCTCCTGCTGTGGGGTAGCCATGCATTTCTTCTTTCAGTTTCAAGAAGCCTAATCTTCCTTGGTTTCTGCTGGGTGTTGCTGGCAATGACTCAAGGCAGGAACTCATCTGTAGACCAGGCCCCTGCTGGGCTGCTCTGAACGCTCTCTCTGCACCTGACTCCTCAGCTAGCAAAGTGCAAACTTTTCTTTCTTCTGCCTAAGAAGGAACTCTAGAGGATTGAGTAGAGGAAATTGCGTAGGTTGGAGTCAGCCCTGGAATGTTCAAAGCAGTCTCAGTTTCTGAGGCTCCTTGCCTAAGGCCAGTTAGGATGGAAGGGGCTTTTCAGTGAGGGAGGCTTAGGTAGAATGGTTCAGGTTGTACCTCCAGTGGTGGAATGTGAAGGTCACTGCAGATGTCTCCGGAAGCTCAGCATTTCTCTGTTCTGTAGCGTGGCTCAGCCAGCAAGGTTTTTCTGGGGCTGCCTCCTGCCACTATGCTGCAAGCGTGGAATTTTGGAACTACGGCAACTTAGCTCTTTGTCTGCCTCCATCATAGTCTGACTTATCTTGGAAGTCTGGTGCTTCTTGGGAGCCGGGCTGGAAACTCTGGGGGCTGGCTTCTCTGCTTCGGCCTTTGCTGGTGTGGGCAAAGGAGCATCCCCGTGGAGCCGGTAGCCACCAACCAAGCAGTACGTCTCCCCATGCCAGCCCACCTGTGCTTCTCCATACCCTCGGTAGAGGACATGGTAGTAACCATGGAGAGGAGAAGTGGGAGGCAGTGGTGCTGGAAAGAAAACCAGGACAGATCAATCACTTTTGCTTTAGACACTGTACTGTCAGGCTGTCCTTTCATGTCTCTCCCTGTATTGGGGTGAGGCCTTCTCATCTCGGCATCCCAAATACTGCCCTGGCCTAACACTTGTCTGAGTCCCCTAGAGATGGGACACTGGCTACAAAAGCAAAGCCCTGGAGCCTGTGGCAGCAGCAGGCCAGGATATATCCTTCCCATTCCCAGAAAGAACAGGAAAACCTCAAAATAATCACAACCAAGACCCCTTCACAAGTCTCTCCTTCTCACAACCAAGGAAACATTCTTAAGGTCTGTCACTTCTGAGGCTTTCATGGAAGTGGTTTGCAAGATTTGGAAAAAAAGATCTAATATAAATCAGGTAAGAATCCCTCCCACCCTGGCAGCCCCTCTTAGGCCTGGGTCATACTGCCTGTTTCAACCTCTGACCTCTAACCCTTTGAGACTTTTGTGTAGATTTTCTAATACTTTCTGGAGGCCAAATGCTGAAGCAGAGTGACTGGGAGGGTCAGAGCTAGACTCTGAGCACCATGTCTGGGTTCAAGGAGCCTTCGCACATCAACCTACCCTCCCAGGACACCACTCCCCTCGGCTCTCCATCTTCCCAGCTACCTTTGCCCCAGCACTCAGCAGCTCTGATGGGACTGTGTCTTCATGACACCATAATAAAGCTGCCTGGGTCTGAAGCAGCCGCTCTTACTAGAGTGACCAGATTTTAACATTTGTAAAGCGGGACAACATGGGGGGGCAGGGAATGGGGCAGGGCAGGGCCTGACAACAATGCAAACTTTTATAAGCAGTTCTCGATAATCACTTCTCAACAATTATTTGTTATTATTACAGTTTAACATTATCAAATTAACAACAATAATATAAAACTTATATTCTGGAGAAATAGCCACCTGGCAGCCAATAATCGTATATTCCCTTCCTGTTCCTGCATTCTTTCCAAAAATCGGGACTTTTTTAAAACTCCGCGGGATGCAGGACAAATTATTCAAAAGTGGTACTGTCCCACCAAAAGCGGGACGTCTGGTCACCCAAGCTCTTACCCAAACCGCTCCATTTGTCACTTGTCAATAAAAACACATTTGGCTTTTGCTAAGAGTTCAATGAGGAAAGGGTCTGACTGGAAGCATCTAATAGGTCAAAAGGGAAGGCCCAATTTAGAAAGAGGAGAACCTCTGTGAACACTGCTCAGAGATGACATTTCACTTGCCCTCAGCAGTGAGCAGGAACACTGTGGGTCCCTGAGCCCATCGGTATTACTTATGGCTAGAGAAGTGCTGGAGTGGAGGGCAAGCCAAAAAGTGGCAGCCAGGTGAGGTTGTATATATGCCAGTGCCTCCTGTACAGATGCCCAGCCTTGGCCTACCTGCAGTGCAGCCCTCCCAGGGGACAGAGGATAAGTTAGAGTTAATATAGAAGATCCGGTCAGACATTCTCTCTCAGGCAACCAAACAGATTGATATCTCCTAGAGAAATGATAGGGAACTTTCCCTAAGGGCACCACATTTCCATAGCTACCCTACCATGGAAACTGAGAAGGCCTGTGAGGTCATCACTACCTGGTGAGGTCGTCACTACCCAGTGAGGTCGTCACTACCCGGTGAGGTCACATAAGCAACCTGTGAGTAGAGGGGCAGGCTTCGGGGCCCTTAGAGTTTTGGGGAGGAGAATAGAGCAGAGGAAGAAGGAAACCCCACCTGGACCCTCTCACATCTGGCCTCCCCACTGATGCCCTAGTCAAGTACTACCCTCCCTGTGAAGCCCACCTACGGGCTGGCAGAGATAGCCCCAGTGACCCCAGGAGGGCAAGAGACACCCAAGATTCTGCATGTCCTTTCTTCCTGACAGTGCTTGGTTTAGAGTAAAGCCTCACTTCCAGAATCACCCAATCTCAGCTCAAATCCCACAATAAGTTCTTTCTAATAAAGCGCTTACTAAATCACTCCATGGTTCCCCATGGTATATACTCTCCCATGCTGCAAGGAGTAATAAACACAACAAGTGTGTCCTGGTGGCATTTGGCTGGAGAACATTGACAGGCTGAACACGAAGAATAGTAACCGATCTCCCCTTCTTCCTGGACATGTGAGCAGAAGGTTAAACATCTACATTAGCAGCCTTTGAAATCTCCAGCTGGGCAATGTTGGTCTAGAAGTGCCCCATAGTCATTGGTGTTGAGAAGGTGGAGAAAATGTCAGGTTGAGAATATGAGACGAGGTTAATGGGACCAGGGTTTAGGGAACAGACGCCGTGCCACTGAAATGGCCTCAAGGCAATTTTTCTAGCCGTTAAGGAGAGGTCATTACTATTTCCTCTTTTGGCTCAGTTCCTACCTTCCCCCCTTAGTCCCCACCACTATTGGTATCTTGGAACAAAGATGAGAGTTTGGAGGTTGGAACTGAGCAGACACAAGCAAAGGGGGCCAGGAGAGAGGCAAAAGAATGAGGTCTCAAGGCCAAGCAGAATGCCTCAGAGTGGCTGGGACTGGCTGTGGCTGTGTTGGTCAGGGGAAAGGGTGTGCTATTTTAGAACATTCAATGGATAACCAACTCATACCTAGCGTTTTCACAGCACTTTCATATCCACAGTTTATAAAGCTCATGCAGATAATTTATAGATGAGGAGAGTGGAGCTCAGAAAGAATATGTGACTTATCCAAGGTCTCTCTGCCAATAAGAGGTGGAAGCAGGATCTCAACCTTAGTGTAACTGACTTCAAATCCCACATGACTTTGTCCCTTTTACTCTACCAGCTTGGCCAGTAGGAGCCGCAGGCTGCATCTTCAAAGAACACAAAACAGAAAGCTGGGAAGCCAGAAGCCAGCGGTGAAAAGAAATTTCTTCTGCAGGGTCATTCAGATGGTGTTAATTGTTCTCCAAAGCCCCATGGGTACCAGATCCTTTTCTTCTCTCCTCCCTCTTACAAACAGCGAAAGATGAGTTAAAAACACTAAGCCCTAAAACTAGGGGTGAAGGAAGGGAGCCAGAGCCCCAGAGCACAGCCCCCTGAAATAACAACTGGAGGCGGCTCCCATAGAGTCACATCGTCCCTGTGACTCATGCTGTCGGCTCTTCCTTAGTTTGTGGAAATGACACAATCAGGATGCCGGTCAGCCAGGTTGCTGGAAATGAGCACTGCTGTCTCTAGGAGCCATCCAGACCTACCTCACTGTTGGGAAGTCCCCTTGGCTGTCACTGCATGGATCCCTTAGTCCCTGGATGCCTGGACTGAGTGAAGAAAAGGAATCCTAATGTCCTATAGGAATAGCTAAGAGTGATTGACCAGCAGCCTTCCATTCTTAGTACTTGGCTCTCCAGAGTCTGGGAGTGGGGAACAGGGAGGGACTGGCCCATGATTTCTAAGCACGGGACATCTGACTGAGGGGCAGGGGCTGTTCCTCAGGCTGCCAGAGCCTCTGAGGTCCTGTCCCAGAGCTACACGTTGGCACCTCTCCTTACTGTCTAACCCGTCCATTCTCACTCAGCTGAGGTCAGGGCTGGTTAGCTGATAGATGAGAATTCCTTTGGGATTTTCCTTCTTTCCTCCTAAGGGAAACTTATACCTTCTTTCTGGCTTGTAGAGATTTGCATTAAATCAAGTTTGCATTGAAAAATTAGCAGAGGCTGGACACGGTGGCTCATCCCTGTAATCCTAGCACTCTAGGAGGCTAAGGCTGAAGGATCCCTTCAGCTCAGGAGTTTGAGACCAGCCAGAGCCAAAGCAAGACCCTGTTTCTACTAAAAATGAAAAAAAATTAGCTGGGCATTGTAGAGGATGCCTATAGTCTCAGCTACTCAGGAGGCGGAGGCAGGAAGGTCACTTGAGCCTGGGAGTTTGAGGTTACTGTGAGCTATGATGCCACGGCACTCTACCCAGGGTGACAGAGTGAGACTCTGTCTCAAAAACAAGAACAACAAAATCATTAGCAGAGAATGTGGTTAGATATAAAGGCACAAGAAACTAAAGGAGGACTGCTGGTGGCAACATCTAGGGGGAGCTGGCAGTCAGGGGATCAGACACTCTTGGAGATTCAGTACCTGGGAAATGCCAAGTTGGCTGAATGGGCAGGAAATCCATCCATCCCACCCCTTCCTTTCCTGTCTCATCCTTAAGTAACTTCAGGGTCCATATGAAGATTCCCCTTATCACTCTGGCCCCTCAGAGGCTCGGCCTCATAAACTCGACTCGGCTTTGCCTGCCACACGTGCACCCAAGCTCAAGTCAGGGACATTGTCACCACCCCTAGTGCCACATCTGAAAACCCAAACTTTATTCCCTGCCCCTGTCCTTCCAGTTCCATCACTCTTACAACTTTCACTCTGTTCTTTCTTTACCCCATGAAACCCCGCAGTTTCTAGAGACTTTGGTGTTCTCTGATTCTATCTTAGTCTCAGTGTGGGTTTGAGAGAAAGAGGAGGAGGACAGGAGGAGGCCTTGCACTTGATAGGTTGTCAGGGCTGTGGTTGGCCCTGCAGCCCATCTGGGAAAGGGGAGGAAGGGAGGGCATCAGCTGGGGCCCTGCAGAGAAGTGGCCCTGGAACAATTGGGAACAAAGGCTGGATACTCTTCCGTTGAGCCCCAGAGCCTGGCCTTGGCCTTCCTGAACGGCTTCAGGAAATGGCTGAGATTCCACATTTGGAAGGAAGAGACCTGTAAACAGAAGCTGAGCTCTGACAGGGGAGAGCAGCCTCTCTGTAGGCTGGGGGTGGGTGGTGTGGGCCGCAGGGTGAGAGGTGACACTGCAGGCTCAGGAGCTGCAAGGCCTGTCTGCTACAGACATAGAGGCAGGGTCTCAGCACTGGGAAGATTCCCTCCACCTTTCCAGGGTCTGGAAACTATCCTTGCTGATGACATTTGCATAGTTTCAGTGATGGGGTATGCCTAAAAATAAATTCAAAAAACACTGATGGGCGGCGCCTGTGGCTCAAAGGAGTAGGGCGCTGGCCCCATATGCTGGAGGTGACGGGTTCAAACCCAGCCCCGGCCAAAAACTGTAAAAAAAAAAAAAAAAAAAAAAAACACTGAAAAAAACACTGACTAGTCTTTACTCTTACTTATAACATGCCAGACACTGTGTACTCCAGTTCTCAAGGTAGGAATTATTATTACTAGTGCCATTTTACAGGGAAGGAAACTGATGGAGTTACTTGAGTAAGGCCTCTGCAGAAGCTATTTCATCCATCTCTAAGCTGAATATGGACATACCCTGTGGGAATCTGATAGTGTGGCCCGGAGGCTCTGAGTCCTTCCTAGTTCTACCCTACTGTGTCTCAGACTTATCTGTTCCTGGGGAAGGGGACCGTGGGATGACAGCCTACTCCTGCCCCTTCCACTCTGCCTCTCCAGCCTATAGCTCCCCTGCCCTCCGTCCTCAACTTCTCCATGCTGGGTGCTGAGACTCCACCTCTGGGTTTCCATTCTACTCTAGCAGGTGGCCACCAGGAAGGAAAGGGAGAAAGATTGGGACTGAAGGGTAAGATTTAAATAGAGTTTTAGGGCTAAAGCATTAAGACTATGGTTGGAGTTATGGCTAATGTGAGGATTTCCTTTAAGAGGTCTCAGACCAGACCATAAGATGAACCTTAGGGCTGAAGTTAGGGCTGGGGCGATGGCTTAAGGGCCAAGGTCAGATAGTTTCTCGCCTCTGGTCTCCTCCCAGTTCTCCAAGGCACTGAGGGCCAGGCAGGAAGCATCGGTTTCCTCAAAGCCGCTTCCCTCCTAGGGCAGTCTCGGTCACAAACAACCACCAGCACCCCACCCCGCCCCTCCTTCCCTCTTGGCTGTGAGCTCAGAGCAGTAAGACAGAGTGCCTGGGATGAGGACAGAGGCCTGAGAGCAGCCATGGGCTCTGGAGGAGTGAGCCTCTTGGGGGCTGGGCAGCCCCTACCCCTCCTGCTCCTGCTTTTCACTGGTGAGTGTGGCCCCCCTTCCTGGTCCATGCTTCCTCGCTCCAAGACCCGGTCAGGGCAGAAGGGGCTCACTGGGTCCTTTGCTTCCGTTCTGCAGTGGGGAGGTACCATAGATGATGATGATGGTGATGATGGTGGTGGTGGTGTGTACTTGTGTGCATACTCATGACATAGAGAGAGCAAGAGGGGAGAGCAGGCGAGCCTCGGCCTGAATGCTGTGCACACAGGCCCTCTCCCATCGGCAAACTTGCACACAATAGAAGACAGATGGGGCAAGGGCAGGGATTTGGGGCCTCAGTGCTGGTCAGATGGGGCTCTGCTGTTTTTCCCTCCCTCCCAGGAGGCATGGCTCAGGACTCCCCACCCCAGATCCTAGTCCACCCCCAGGACCAGCTGCTCCAGGGCTCTGGCCCGGCCAGGATGAGCTGCCGAGCCTCAGGCCAGCCGCCTCCCACCATCCGCTGGTTGCGGAATGGGCAGCCCCTGAGTATGGTGCCCCCAGACCCACATCACCTCCTACCTGATGGAACCCTCCTGCTGCTGCGGCCTCCCACCCAGGGACACGCCCATGATGACCAGGCCCTACCCAGAGACCTGGGCATCTACACCTGTGAGGCCAGCAACCACCTAGGCACAGTGGTCAGCCAAGGCGCTCGGCTATCCATGGCTGGTGAGGCCTGGGGGCAGACCGGGTGGGAAGGGCAAACTTGGACTGAGATACCAGGTTGAGTCAAGTTCGAGGGGACTCTGTGAGCAAGCAGAGGCCTGGGCTGGGAGACTCGGGAGGGAGAGCTGGGTTGAGGTAGCCCTGGATGGAAAGCCGGGGAGGTGGCAAAGTACAATGGGGGCAAGTGTGGTAGAGGAGGGAGTGGGAGGCTGGGCCCTGCTCCCTGTCAACCCTGCGTCCTCCTAATAGTCCTCCGGGAGGATTTCCAGATCCAGCCTCAGGACACAGTGGCCCTGGTGGGTGAGCAGGTGATTCTGGAATGTGGACCACCGTGGGGCCACCCAGAGCCCACAGTTTCATGGTGGAAAGATGGGAAACCCCTAGCCCTCCACCCAGGGCGGCACTCGGTGAGTATACCCTTCCCCTACATGACTCAACACACCCTGAGGAACTGGCCTGCCCTCTAGCCCTACAGCCCCTGGAAGAATTTGAGGAGGGGAGGGGAGGAAGGTCTCAGCTTCCCTCCAGACTCTGAGACCCTCCCCACATGGGAGACTTCACAGTGCACCTGCCCTGATAGGTGTCCAGGGGTTCCCTGCTAATGGCAAGAGCCGAGAAGAGTGATGCAGGGACTTATATGTGTGTGGCCACCAACAACGCAGGACAGCGGGAGAGCCGAGCAGCCAGGGTATCTGTCCAGGGTAAGGGCAGGGGGTCAGGTCAGCTAAAATGCAGGCCAGCTGGGATTAGGGTGTGTGGGCCTCAGCCTGGGGACAAGGGTCAGAGTGGTGGGGGCCTCATGTGGGGAAAGTTTCCCCTGTGCTAGAGTAAAAATAGGAGTGCTCCAAACCTGGGACTCTGGGAGTTTGGCTGGGGGATGTTCCATTCCTCAGTTCTATCACTCTGGTCTATGGGCTCCATGCCAGCCATATGCTCCTCACAGAGCCTCTGGAGCTTCTGGCCGTGCGCATACAGCTGGAAAACGTGACCCTGCTAAAGCCAGACCCTGCAAAGATCCCCAAGCCTGGGCCTGCTGTGTGGCTTAGTTGGAAGGTGAGGCCAGATCCTAAGGGTGAGTGCGGGTCCACAGCTGAGGAGAGGTCTGGCCATGAGCTCCCTGACTCCTTGCCCTTCCTTCCACCTCTTCCCCAGGTGAGTGGCCCTGCTGCACCTGCTCAGTCTTACACAGCCTTGTTCAGGGCCCAGACCGGCCGAGGAGACGAGGGAGCTCCCTGGGCAGAGGCACTGCTTGCCGGCTGGCAGAGCGCAGAGCTTGGGGGCCTCCACTGGGGCCAAGACTATGAGTTCAAAGTGAGACCATCCTCCGGCCGGGCTCGGGGCCCTGACAGCAACGTGCTGCTCCTGAGGCTGCCAGAACAAGGTCAGGGGTTGATTGATCCCACCAGAGCCCAACAATATCCTCTCTGGCTCCTTTTTATTTGGGGGCCCGTAGACTATCCAACTCCAGTCTGGGAGGGAGAGTGGGTTCTACTGAACTTGCTTCTGTCCTGGTCAGGCAAGCAGAACTGGGGGGAGGGGGGGCTTGACAATTGGGGCTCTGTGTCCACCATTCCAGAATTATTCCCTAGACTCCTTTTCCTCAGTATCCCTTACAGCCTCTGTTCTTCCCCTCCAGTGCCCAGTGCCCCACCCCAGGAGGTGACCCTAAAACCTGGCAATGGCAGTGTCCTTGTGAGCTGGGTTCCACCACCTGTTGAAAACCATAATGGCATCATCCGTGGCTACCAGGTACCCAATACAAGCTGACACAGCCCTTCCTAGTGGTACCAGGGCCTCTTTTCTCCCTGGAATCCTGCATAGTCTTGTTCTGGGCATTGAGAATGCCTGTGTAGAGAAGCAAAGGGAACTTACTTTTGTTGAGTCAGGACCTACTCTCTCCCAGACCCTGCCAAACACTTTACCTCCACGATCTCATATCACCTCACCTCAAAGTCTACCCTAGTCCCCAATTTACATACATGGAAAGTGAGGCTAAGGTAATAAGTAAAAGAACAGAACAGGAAACAAGCCAGCCTCTATGTGACTCTGAGAGTGTGGCTCCTGGACCAGCCACCAGGGAACTTATTAGGAAGACACAGCCTGCTCAATCAGAAGCTCCCAGCAAGCTGTGTTTTAGCAAGCCTCCAGGTGATTCTGGAGCCTGCTGAATGGCACAGCCATTAGTCTTAGGCGTGTTTTAGCAGATCCCTTTCGCCCTTTTTCTGTTGGTCTACAGAGAAGTCTCTCTCCCTGCATAGAAGAGAGGGGAACAGGAAGTGTGGGTGCATTATAGATGCTCCGGGATAGATGGCCAGAAAGGTCAACCACATTCTTGGAGTCTGACTGCAAATTATGGGTACAGCTGCTGGGATGGTGCCTGGAGTGGCTGCTCACCTTTGCTTGTGCCTCAGGTCTGGAGCCTGGGCAACACCTCCCTGCCCCCAGCCAACTGGACTGTCGTGGGACAGCAGACCCAGCTGGAAATCGCCACCCACGTGCCAGGCTCCTACTGTGTGCAAGTGGCTGCAGTCACAGGCGCTGGGGCTGGAGAGCCCAGTAGCCCTGTGTGCCTCCTTTTAGGTGAGGGCAGTGCCCATAGGCCCCAGCCATACCGTCAACCCCCATTCCCACCTTCCACTCCTGCCTCACACTTCTAGCTTCTCCTGCTTGTCTGTGGGACCCTCACTGCCTCACTTGGCCCTTTGCCTGAGCTCTGCATCCCACACAGGGCAGGCCGTGGAGCGAGCCAGCCGAGAACCCAGTGAACATGGTCTCTGGACCCTGGAGCAGCTGAGGGCCTTGCTGAGGCGGCCAGAGATCATTGCCAGCAGCGGTGTTATTCTCTGGCTGCTGCTGCTGGGCACTGCTGTGTGTATCCACCGCCGGCGCCGAGCTGCAGTGCACCTGGGCCCGGGTGAGAATTGAGGGAGACCCCAAGATGGTCAGGCCTCTCCTGGGTTCAGCCATAACACTGCAGGGGCTTTAGATACCTGGACAGGTGATGAAGGCTCTGGATTTAGCCTTCCTCCTCCCTTCTTCCAGGTCTGTACAGGTACACCAGTGAGGACGCTATCCTAAAACACAGGTGAGAGATGAAAGTGCTTGAGATGGGGAAATGGGGGTACCCAGGGGCAGTGGGGCTAGGACAGAGAATTGAATGGGGTGCTAATCAAGACCCTAGAACTTGAATCTCTCCCAAGCTCCGAGTGAGTGTTCCTTTCCTTTTCATTAATGTTTCTATCATACCACTTGACAGGCAAGTAAACTGAGACTCATAAAATGTAAGTGACTTTGCTCAAGGCTGCACAATGAGTAGCTGGCCTCCTGAACCCCTGATCCAGTGCTCTTGTCAGCCACCTCTCATTAACCCACACCCCCTGCTCCTACTTTCTTACCCTGTTGAGTAGAGAATAAGCACCTGACCAGCTCTAAGGTCTAAAGTTCTCTGTACTTTGCATTCGGTAAATCTGAGCTCTTTCCTGCACCATAGGAAAGAGCTCACCCACAGCTCCAGCAGAGGGCGTTCGGCCCCTACATCATAGATTTTTCCTCTTTGTTCTCAAAACCAGAGCCAGACTGACTGTAGGCACTTCTGCTCCAAGTGGGATTAGCTGCCAGAGCCAGTCTGTGGTTGTGAGACTAAGAAAGAGCACATCCTTTTTTCTCCTATTGGCTGAGTTTTACACGCAATAACCATTTTATCTCTCTGCCTGCTTTCTTGGCTCTTTGTCTTGGTAGAATTTCCTCTGAGAGGCTTCACACTCCAGGTCTGTATCTATCAACAGACGTTATCAAGCACCTACTATGTGCCAGATACATATAGGCCTAGGGTTGCCATTTTGCTGTCAGATTCTCAGCCCAGAGCAAGATTCCAAGCTGGCTGGAATTGTGTGCCTGAGTTTTTCTGTGCTCACTGGCTTCTCTCTTCTACCTACCTTCTGGGCTTTGTCTGCTCTGCCCTGAACTTTCTCTGGCTCCCCTTCGACCTCCTCCCTTATCCTTGAGGGAGATGCATTCTGGTTTATTCATTCCCTTAGAGTAATCTCCATGTGCCAGGAATGCTCAGCATAGGCAGCGGCAGGCATGAGAGCATATGAGTACAATGCTGTGTTTAGCCTGCATAAGATATACGGAATGGGTGAGGGATGCGGGGGGGAAGTGAAGATTCTACATTTACTTCGACAGTGACTACTTGGACCAGCAAGTAGCAGCCTGCTACCACCACAGGGAAAGACAAGCCATTTGGAAAAGTTCCCGCTGGGGCAGAGAACATGAGATGAATTAGAGTAGTGGTTCTCAACCTTCCTAATGCCTGCGTTGTCACAAAGGGGTCTTGACCCACAGGTTGAGAACCGCTGGATTAGAGCAAAGGATAAAGTTAGGAAATTGGAAGCCAGGCTGAGGAGGGCCTGCCCCATTCGCCATGCTGGGTGCCTGGGCTCTTTCTTGGTCAATGGGGAGCCATTGAAGGTTTCAAGCAGAAAAGTGGCTGTTCTTAAAGGATTGCTCAGGCCAGCATCCATGCAGCAAGCTACAGCTCTGCCAGCTGAGTGATCTCTCATTTCCTCATTAAAACTCACAGCACCAGCCTTGACTGTGGAGAACCTTATGGTTGCTGTTGCCATTTTACAGATGAGGAAACCAGGGCTTAGAGAGGCTAAATGATTTCCTGGTCTAGGTTTGCACAGCTAAACTGCGGCAGATAGGGATTTTCAAAGCAGGTTTGTCTGGCTTCAGAGCTGTTCTTTGCAGCTCAGCACACACAGCTGTTCCTCATTAATACCTCATTGCTCTGGCCAACTTGGAGTTCCCTTGATCCCAGGATAGAAAGGGCTGCTGAGTTTGGGACACCAGGTCAGGAGTCTGTGAAGGGCTGCAAAGTGGTAGTAAGGATAAAGCCAGCCATCTCCTCAACCCCTGCTGCTACTCTTGGAGCTGGGGGTCTTAGCCAATTACGGTCTCAATTTCCCTGTGTCCCCACCCTCCACTGCCCCAGAATGGATCACAGCGACTCTCCCTGGCTGGCAGACACTTGGCGTTCCACCTCTGGCTCCCGGGACCTGAGCAGTAGCAGCAGCCTCAACAGTCGGCTGGGCATGGACCCCCGGGACCCAGGAGACAGTCGTCGCTCCTGTGAGCATGTCCAGTAGGGATGAAGGCCTGGCTGGGGTGCAGGGATCCCAGGGATGGAGAGTGAGAGGCGTTCACCATAATTCCTCCTGATGTTTTTATCGCAGTGATCTCCTGGGACCCCCGAAGCCCTGGTGTGCCCCTGCTTCCAGACACCAGCACTTTTTATGGCTCCCTCATTGCTGAGCTGCCCTCCAGCTCCCCAGCCCCTCCGAGACCCCAGGCCCCAGCTGTCAGGCGCCTCCCACCCCAGCTGGCCCGGCTCTCCAGCCCCTGGCCCAGTTCAGACAGCCTCTGCAGTCACAGGGGACTCTCTTCTCCACACATGTCTCTGGCTCCTGCACAGGCTTGGAAGGCCAAAAGGAAGCAGGGTAAGGATAGGAAGACTAGACATAACCTGAATTGGTAATCGGGGGGGCCCAGGAGTGGGAATGTGGAGGGTGGGGGAAGAGGCCTGTTGGCCTCAAAGCCAGCGGTGGGCTGCAGGCCTCAGAAGCTCCCATTCTCCTGTCTGGGGACATGAGGACCTATCACTCAGCTGGGAGTATGCTCATCTCAGGTCAAATGAGATGAGCTACAGCCAACATTTAATAAGCACCACTGCATGCCAGACATAGGGGACTGAAATGATACCAAACACAGCCCTTGCCTTCTGAGGTTGTCTAACAAGTGTTGACAAGCGTACAAGTGATGCTAGTGCCTGGCAGGACGTGACTGCTACTGGCACAAAGCTTCAGGCTGCCATGAATTTATCTCCTTGTACACTACGTACAGGTGTGCTTTTATCGCCTTGTGCACTGTGTACAGGTGTGCTTGGGCACTGACTCATGTGATTCACTTCTCAGAGAAGAATGGGTATTTCTTTCTACACAGATTTCTCTCCTGTCTTCCAGCTGTTTGCTTTGACTTTCCAGAGAGAAATAAGCATGGTCTCCATTTCTTGAACAAATGCTATGTGCTTGGCCAATGTTTTTCAACCTTTTTTATCTCATGGCACACTTGAACCTGTAGTTAAACCTCCATGTCATACTTAAATTATGTTGATGGAAAAAAAGAGTGAAAAAAAGAATATACTTACTGTGCTTTGAACTTTTGTTTTTGTTTTTGTTTTTGTTTCAAGACAGAGTCTCACTCTGTACCCAGGATAGAATGCTGTGGCATCCTATCTTACAGAAACCTTAAACTTTGGGGCTCAAAAGATCCTCTTGCCTCAGCCTCCCAAGTTGCTGGAACTACAGGTGTGTGCCACCACACCTGGCTAGTTTTTCTATTTTTAGTAGAGATGTGGTCCCACTCTTTCTCAGCCTGGTCTCAAACTTCTGAGCTCAAGGGATCCACCCACCTCGGCCTCCTTCCAGAGTGTTAGTATTACAGGACAGACCTACTGCACCCAGGCTGAACTTCTTTTGAAAATAATTTAATTAATGATCTTTAAAAATGTTCACGGCACATCTAAAGTCCTCTCATAGCTCCCACTTTGAAAATCACTACACAAAGTGCTTGGCTTATATTTGCTGTTTCGCTGAACTCTCACCCAGGTATTATTTCTCTAATTTTATGGAGAAGAAAGAGGGTTGGGATGCTTAGGTCACTTGTTTAAAATTTCACAAGTAATAAGCCACAGAACTCAAATTTGAAGTCGGGATGGCTCTGAAGGCTACTCTGGATATCTCAGCTCTCTTGGACAATTCTATTCTCTCTCTGTGCTACCCTGTTCTAGTGTTCAAAACCCTGGCTTGCACTCTACCTGTCATCTTCATGACCCTCCTGTACTGATTAATAAGACCTAGCAAATGTTCTACGGGCAATTCTTTTTTGTAAGTGAATACAATCCAACTTTTATTAAGCAAAGATGAGTTAAGAGTAAGAACTTGTTCATTACCTGGAATATTGTGACTGTAAATGTTAGCAAAGCTAGCATTCTTACTAACTTTGCTTCAGAGCTTTTATATTGTAAATCCTCAGTGATAATGGAAAACAAGCTAAAAAGAGGTTGAATAAGTCTCACTTAAAAAAAAAAAAAAAACAGCCTTTGGCTCTGCGCCTGTAGCTCAAGTAGCTAAGGTACCAGCCACATAAACCAGAGCTGGCAAGTTTGAATCTGGCCTGGGCCTGCCAAACAATGACACCTACAACCAAAAAATAGCCAGGCATTGTGGGACCCTGTAGTCCCAGCTACTTGGGAAGCTGAGGCAAGAGAATTGCTTAAGCCCAGGAGTTGGAGGTTGCTGTGAGCTGTGACATCACAGCACTCTACCCAGTGCGATAGCTTGAGGCTCTGTCTCAAAACAAACAAACAAACAAACAAACGGCCCTTGTATGGAGAATGATGCTGACTTTTACAGCATGTATAGCCCCTGTTAGAACATAACCCTGTGGGGAAAGGTGAGTGGTTTTCTACAGCCAGTTTTTTTTTTTTTTTTGAGACAGAGCCTCAAGCTATCCCCCTGGGTAGAGTGTGGCATCACAGCTCACAGCAACCTCCACTGCCTGGGCTCCAGCGAGTCTACTGCCTCAGCCTCCCAAGTAGCTGGGACCACAGGCACCCACCACAACGCCCGGCTATTTTTTGGTTGCAGCCATCATTGTTGTTTGGTGGGCCCGGGCTGGATTCGAACCCGCCACCTTAGGTGTATGTGGCTGGCACCTTAGCCACTTGAGCCACAGGTGCTGAGCCTCTACAGCCAGTTCTTAAGAAGGGTTTCAATTCTGAAATGAGGCTTCCTAACCTGTGGTTTAGGTCTTCACTTCATCTCCTATTTCTTTCTTCCTCATCTCTGCCCCATCTCATCACAGCCCCAGGTTAGAACAATTGCAATGATTCCCCTTGGCTAGTGACACCTGATGTTCCACCTCTGGCTCCCAGGACTTTGGCAGCAGCAAGAAGATCATGCCATTATCTTGTCCAGAGCTATGGAGTTCATTCTTCTGCTGCCACCTCATCCAAAGGCAGATGTTCCTATTTTTAAAACTGTCAGGCTCTCTCAGTGTCCCCTCTTCCATTAACCTTATGGTTCCTTTTTCTTATTATTTGTCCTCAGTTGGGTTTTTTCTACATCAATCATAACTGCCCCCAGTATATTCAAGTGTGCCCAGTGAGATTGGGTCTTTTATCTTGATGCATGCATGCCTGCCTGCCTGCCTGCCTGCCTGCCTTCCTTCCTTCCTTCCTTCCTTCCTTCCTTCCTTCCTTCTTCCTTCCTTCCTTCCTTCCTTCCTCTCCTTCTCCTCGTCCTTCTTCTTTTCTCTCTCTCCCCTCCCCCAACAAGGTGTCACTCTGTTGCCCAGGCTGGAGTGCAGTGGCATCATCATAGCTCACTGTAACCTCAAACTCCTGGGCTCAAGTAATCCTCCTGCCTCTACCTCCCAAGTAGCTGGGACTATAGGTGCATGGCATGACACCTGGCTAATTTTTCTATTTTTGTAGAGATGAGGTCTTGTTCTTGCTCAGGCTGGTCTTGAACTCCTGACCTCAAGGAATCCTCTTGCCTCAGCCTCCCAAAGTATTGGGATTACAGCTGTAAGCCACCACACCTAGTTTATTCAAATAGCATTGAAACTAAAGTCCAAGTAACTTCAATCGAGGCAAGAGGAATCCTTTTGTTACCAGGGTCCCTTAGACGAAATGAAATGGATTAGGATAAATATGGCCTTTTGCAGGCCTGGCTTTTTCCCTTCCTTTTCCACTCAGAAACCAAACTGTGCTCATACTTCTGAATGTAATTAAGGAGTCAGGTACAAGACAAGACAAAACTGATGATAACAGAGTTAGAGAACTAACCAGAAATTGTGCCCCATCCCTGTGCCTGGAACTCAGTGAGGGTGAGGAGACCTCCAGGTGAGTAGCCTGAGAACCACACAAAAATTAAGGGAAATGAGTAAATACTAAACCAGACAAAGTACAAAAGGAAACTTTGATGAAAAACGTCTAGCTATTGTAGGGACTGGGCGCAGTGGCTCACACCTATAATCCTAGCACTCTGGAAGGCCAAGGCAGGTGGATTACTTGAGCTCAGGAGTTTGAGACTAGCTTGAGCAAGAGCCAAACCCTGTTTCTACTAAAAATAGAAAAAAAGGCTAGCTGGGTAGGGCAGCAGTTCCTGTAGGGACAAACAGGCTGAACTGAATCACGAGGCTGAAGGTAGAACCTACTGTTGGGGTCTGAAAGCCCCCCACCCACTGACTCTTTGCTTTGCAGAGCTGCACCAAGTCAACAGCTCCCCGCTGCTCCCAGCCAGCCGCCCCATGGAGCTGCAGGCCTGGGAGTTGGGAAATAGAGGCTCCAAGAACCTTTCCCAAAGCCCAGGTGAGGGGGACATCCCTGAGAGAGAAGGTGGGGGGGAAGGCCCTTCTGGTGGGCTTCTCCTCCTGGCTTTGGGGAGGCTGGGTGGGTGGGGCTAGGGTAGGTTGGAACCAAAGGTGTTGGGTGGACAGGTGGGCAAGCTGGGCTCTGGGGCTGATGGGGACTCTACTGTTCTCATGCCCAGGCCACCATTCCCCAGCAGCTGTGCCCCGAGCTCTGGTTGCCTGGCGGGCCCTGGGACTGCAGCTCCGTAGTTCTTCAAATGAGCTGGTTACTCGCCCTCTCCCTCCAGCACCCCGCTCTCCTGGTGGAACCCCCACTCAGAGTCAACAGACCCAGTAAGAGGGCACAGGTTCAGGAGGCAAGAGTGCCAGGTTGGGGGTGAGGGGAGTGTGTGCTGGGACTGGCTGGGCTGGGGAGGACTGGCTGGACAAGGACTTGAAGAGCATCCCTGACCAGGCTGCCATTGTCTCTGCCCCCAATCAGGCACCAAACTCCATCCTCTGTCCCGCTGCCAGCAGCCCCCATTCCCATCCTTAGCCCCAGTGGCGCCTCCAGCCCCCAGGCCTCGTCCCTGTCTGGCCCCAGCCCAGCTTCCAGTCGCCTGTCCAGCTCTTCACTGTCCTCCCTGGGTGAGGATCAGGACAGCGTGCTGACGCCTGAGGAGGTGGCCCTGTGCCTGGAACTCAGTGAGGGTGAGGAGACCCCCAGGTGAGTGGCCTGAGAACCACGGCTGAGCTTGCTCCAGGAATGCACTTCCCTCTTCCCATCCCACCCTTCCTCCACCGTGTCTGCTCCCGCACCACCCACCCACCCTCACCATTGCTGCCTCCCTTTTTGCCTCTTTCTAGGAACAGTGTCTCTCCTGTGCCAAGGGCTCCTTCACCCCCCACCACCTACGGGTACATCAGCGTACCAACAGCCTCAGAGCTAGCAGACATGGGCAGGACAGGAGGAGGAGTGGGGTCCGGAGTGGGGGGCTTATTCCCACCTCGGCCCTGCCCCACCCCCACCCCCAGCGAGGGCTCCTTGGCCAATGGTTGGGGCTCGGCCTCAGAGGACAATGCCCCCAGTGCCAGAGCCAGCCTTGTCAGCTCCTCCGATGGCTCCTTCCTCGCTGATGCCCACTTTGCCCATGCCCTGGCTGTGGCTGTGGATAGCTTCGGTTTTGGTCTGGAGCCCAGGGAGTCCGACTGTGTCTTCACGGGTATGTGAGATCATCCCACCTTACTCGTCTCTGCCAGCCCTCAGAGTGGTCACAGCTACTATAAGACCCCCTGGCCCCCACTCCGCAAACCAGACATGAGTCTTCTCAAACATCTTCATCTTTTTATCATTATTGTTAAAACAGCTAGTTGGTATTGAACAACTACACATCCCAGGGACTAGGATAAGTGCTTTATACACATTAAATATTAACAGCTCTCTGAGGAATATTTTTTATTGATCTTTTCCAAATGAGGAAACTGTAAGATAAGTTTATTAACTTATCTGAGGTCAAGAGCAAATTCCACAGAACAAGAGCAAATTGTCTAACTCTGAAGGCTCCAGGCAGCCAACTGCAGGTCCATCCCCTACCTCCAGGATTCTCCTGGTACCCAGATATTGGTCTCTAGAAAACATTGCTCCTGCCTTTTCCAACTCTTCCTCGTGCCCTGTTCACAGCTGGGGCTGGGAAGCCACTAGACTCACCCCTGCTTTGTCCCACAGAGAGGGACCATTGTCTCCATGTCAGCAGAAGGTAGCTCAAGGCTCCCTTCCCCACACACCCTGTCAGATCCCCACACCCATCTTACTATCCCTAGCTCTAACCTGTGTCCTCAAGAAGAACCAGGATTGAGGCCTGTGGTACATGGGAGAGCAAGGATTATCCAGGACAGATGTGCTCATGATGGAAGGAGAAGAAGGATGCCCAGAGAATGAGAGAGGGAAGGGAGGGTACAAATAGATAGCCGCAGCTGGACAGGATGACACAGTTTGAGCTCTTTTAAGGAAACCAGTGGACTCATGGGGATGTGGCCACTGAGCTGGGGCTAGGTTATGTTTGGGGCTGGGTGTATGCCGTGAATTTGTCCTAGTCTTTCTGTCTTAAATGAGTCCCTAGAGGCTGAAAGTGAACCCCCATATATACCTCTACTCTCCCTGACAGATGCCTCATCACCTCCCTCTCCACGAGATGACCTTTTCCGGACCCCTACCTTCTCCCTTCCTCTGTGGGAATGGAGGCCAGATTGGCTGGAGGACATGGAGGTCAACCATACCCAGCGGCTGAGAAGGGGGCTGCCTCCCTGGCCCCCTGACTCTCGGATTTCTTCCCAGAAAAGTCATTTCAGCTGTCCTGTGCCCAAGGCTGGTGGTAAGTGTCTGTCTGCCTGGCTAAGGTGGCCATCTTGACCAGAGGGTTTTGGAGAGAAGCCAATAGGAAGCCCAGGGCTGGCAGAACTGTGAAGGAACAGGAAGATAACCCTACTCTCCTTCAGCTTCCTCCATAGATTCCTCATGAACTGGGCTCCTGAGACTGCCAAGAAGAGGATCAAAACCATCTCTGCTGTCTGCCCACAAGGCCTAGGCTGTGGCATGTGGGTCTTGGCCTGTGCTTCTCTGCACTTGGTGGGTCACCTTCCCTGGCCTCCAGGACAGTTCTCCTTCCAAGATTGTGAAAACAAATGAAAGCAAAACAAACTAAGAATGAAGCAGATGTGGAGCCCTCAGGGAGCAAAGCATCACCTCCACCTGACTCCCAAATGTTGCCTTTCTCCTCTGTCCACCCACTCCCACAACCAGCTGGTTTTGGCCAAAGGAGCAGCCCTGTCTCCTGCTTTCCCCACCCACTTGCATCACAAGAAGTGGGGGAGCCATCTTCATGGAGGATGACGACAACAGTGACTGGTGAGAGAGGGCCGTGGAGGAAGGACCATCTCAGAGCCTTCTCTCAGCCTTACCTGGGCCCCTTCTCTACAGACAAGCTCTGCCTCTCCCCATCCACACCATGTAAGGAAAATATGGAAGAATGCCATTGAGACCTGAGGCCCTACCTCATGTCAAGGCAAAAGTTCAAGGCTGGGTCTAGGGAGAAAGGTGGAGGAAGGGAGGTATGAGAATGGGAGACAAAAGCCCCCTCCTCATATTGTTGTCATTATGAGCTTGAGAAATCTGATACCATAAAACTGTAAAGACTTGAGTGCTTTGAGATCATTCCCTGGGGCACCACTTTGGGGGGGTGGGCACCTGGAGAGATAGCAAGAGTTCCCTGAGTTAGGGAGGGATTATGCACTCATTGATACTCGGGGAGTATCACTTACTTCTGTTCTGCAGTTGGAGAGAGGATGATGTTCAGCCACTAGATTTTAAGCAGAATCTAGGAAAAGAAGAGGTGGGGGCGTTTCGGGGTCTGCTGGTCCTGGCAACTTATCCTGAGAAGACAACTGCTTTCAGCTGTCCCAGATGGTCTCTTAAAATAGATAAAGTAGTTAAATTCCAAAATAGGTAGAACCACCTGCAACGGTTGGCTAGTGAACACCTTTCAAACAAAACAACAGAAAAGAGACATGGGACCTTGGGACAGGACTTCAGGGCCTGAGCCACAAAACTCCACCAGAGGGCAGGTAGATCTGTGACAGAAAGGTCAGAAGGGATGCCACAGTTATACAAGTTAAGAAATAGGTGTAGTTTGCTACAGAGCATGACCAAGGCCACGGGAAGATACCTTTAGGGAGGGCCCAGCAGGACCCAGCAATTCTTTCTAGAGGCCACTTAAATTCCGAGGCTGAGTAAGGCAGGATGAGAGGGACTGGGCACTTCCAATCAGGCCAGCCTGGGCTGGATTTTTTGGTCTTTGCAGGAGGAATCAGAACTCCCATATACACATCCATTCTTCTCTATTTGTTTTTCCATTTTTAGATTTTGTTTTTCTCTTAGCTTCCTGGTAAAATTATTTTTGAAAATATGCTAACCCTGGCTTGGTGCCTGAAGCTCAAGTGGCCTAAGGCACCAGCCACATACACCAGAGCTGGTGGGTTCGAATCCAGCCTGGGTCTGCCAAACAACAGTGACAACTACAACCAAAAAATAGCCGGGTATTGGGGCGGGTGTCTAAAGTCCCAGCTACTTGGGAGGCTGAGGCAAGACAATTGCTTAAGCCCAAGAATTTGAGGTTGCTGTGGGTTCTGACATCACGGCACTCTACCCAGGGTGACAGCTTGAGGCTCTGTCTCAAAACAAAACAAAACAAATACCAGAAAATATTCTAACCCTATCTGCCAGACTGAAGGGGAAGGAGGGATTTGTACATACTGAGGTGAATGTAGCAGGAGAGGGCAAGGCCTGGACTTGGAGAGAAGGCGTGCCCCTGAGTCTAGGGGAGGCACAAGCCCAGGATGGAGCAAGGGAGAAGGAAGCAAAACCCCAGCTGGCCAATGAGTGGGTAAGCCGTCAGGGGGTGGGGTGCTGATGGGGACTATGGCATTCACAGCCAAAAGTTTTAACAATTCTGTGCTAGCCAATCTAATCGTATGCCCTCTGTAAGGGAGTCAGGAGGTCTAATAAAACATGTTCTTCCTTCCTGCCTAGGGTTTCCCTCATGAGCTCCTCCTGTCTTTGAATATGTAATTATTTTTATTTTGAGGGTCACATTTCCTTACAGGAAAGTACGGACCCCAGAGGAGGCCATTATTCTCCAAAGGTGGGACCAGTTTCTCACTATTGGCCATTCAAAAAGTCTCTGTGGACGTAACTGGGGGACGGCGATCTTCAGCTTCTTGGGGCGCAGCATAGGTCAGTTCTCCTAGCACCTGTCCTCACCTAGTGCTTTTGGCCAAGTTCAAAGGGAAGCAGGAGCTGCCAGCGTGCATCCACACAGAGGTCTGCACAGTGCCTTTCTTCCCGACATCCTGCACAAAACCGAACAAGGCCCAGGGCTCTGATCAGATTATTTTTATTGTTTGTTTTTTATAATACAAATAGTCTTCAGTTACAAAGAGATGAAAAGAGAGAAGCTGGTTCTCTGGCCTCAGTGAGCCCCACGGGTCACTGTGGGAGGGAGGAGACACCCATCCCGGCGCCTCTCTGCTCCCACTCCCTTCTCCGTGGAACTCCTAATATTCTCATTGTCTCCTTGAGGGTCATCTTGAGTCCTAGAGAGAGAGAGAGAAACACTGTTTTGTAAAGCTCTGGCTCAGGGCACACAGGCTGCAGGAGGGCCTGCCCTTCCAGTCCAGCTCTCCCATGGGGAGTACCCACTCTTTTCTCATGTGCCATCTTGCTCTTACCCCTACTGTTTATTCTACAGGATTCCTCCTTGCCCTCTCACTCTGTGGGTCCCCTCTTTTTGACACTCTTCTGCCTTCCTATCTCCAGCCACCTCTCCATCCACCCTCCCTAGCCCTCTGTCCTCATTTTTCTGTGATTCCTAGACCCCACCTCTCGACGTTTCTGTCCTGGCCTTTGGTTCTGGCTCTGGCTCTGGCTCCGGCTCCGGCTGCGGCTCCGGCCAGGGCCCCGGGAGCCCCGAGAGCTGCTGGAGCCTCTTGAAGAGTTGCTGCCAGCTGTGGAACAGGTGCTGGTGCCCTGGCCCCGCGGCAGGAAGTTTGGTCTGCTGTATGGGGGCCAGGCCTCTTCTGCAGCATAAGAGGGAAGAGCGGCAGGTCCAGGCAGGGAGAGAACATCACTGCTCACCCACCTTGCCACCCCGACCACAATCCCAGCGCTGGGAGAAGACTGAAGGGCAGGCACAGGGCTCAGCCAGTTGGAGGCTGAGGAGAAGCTGAGTGCTCAGCTCAGCTGAGCGCCCTTGACATGCTCAGAACCCTGTAGGGAGCTCCCGAGCAGAGGGAGCCTTGGGATTGGGGGACAGAGAGTCCAGATCACATTCATCTCTCGTCTGGCCTTCTGTTCTTGGAAGAAACATAACTTGGGTACCTCTGGGGACTGGGGAGAGGGTTAGGGAGAAAAGGGAGTTTTTGATATGGATTAAATGTGTGAGCCAATGTGAAGAGAAGGATGAGCTATCTGACAACTGTCAACCTCCAGTCCCAAAGGCCACCTTCTCCTGTGACAGCAGCCTTCCCACCTGCTCCAGCCCTCCTTACCATCTGGGTGGGGCCCCCGTTGGGCCCCTAGGGGCATGGCCTGTACCACTCTCCTCTCCCCACTGCGCTCTTGCTCCAAGGAGGACATGCTGCCTGCTGCTCTCAGCCCTAAAGCCCAGTTGGCCTCTTCCTCTGGCGGTGGTAAGGGTGGTGGGGGCAAGTCTGAGGAGGGACCAGTCTTCAGCTGAGTCTCCTGCTTCTCCTGACACTAATCTCCTCCCACCCTCTACTCCCAGAGGTGGAACAGCCCCAATTTGGGTACACATTCTCCTTTCTCCAGAGGCCAGGTTCCCTGCCTGTTCCCATGACTGCCACCATCTCCCAGGCCCATGGGACCTCACCCCCAGGACTGTGCTCTCTCCTGTAAGGAAGAGCCCTGGGTTTCTTCCGGATCCGAGCCCGGGGTACTTGAAGTGGGGGAGTCATCTCCCCAGGCACCTGCCGGGTTCTCCCTGTAGAGTTAGGAGATGAGGGAAGAAACAGGTAAGGGAGGGGATCAGAAGAGGAGCCTGGGGTAAGGAGGAGAAAATATTGAAGGGAGTACAAGAAGGGGGTGAGTTGAGATTCTACAGACTCACCTGGGGCGCTGCTGGCTGTGCTAGGGGCAGGACTGGCACTGAGATGATGGGAGGTTGTGGGGCCAGAGCCCAGGCCAGCAGGCCTCCCTTCATGGCTACCCAGAGTGGGCTGGGAGACACTAAGAGGGGAACTTGGCCCGAGGGGCACCCTCCTGCAATGACAAGAGGCCTCAGCATCTGTTCCCACCACAAAAACTAAGTGCCTACTATGTACCAGGTACTGTGCCAGACACTCAGCCTAATACTAGATGAACAAGATATGGCCTGTCCCCCACAAGGCCCTCTAGGCTAGGGGAGCATGAGGAAAGTTATGATGGAAATGCCTCAGGGAGCCTGCAGAGTCACTCCCATGGAGATAGTGTGAAGGGAGAGAGAGACCTTGTCAGCCTCCATGCTCCTGCCTCCACTTCCACCCTGACACAGCCCTGGGAACTCTGTATCCCCAGATCCATCCATCCACCCATCCATCCAATCACTGAACAGATATGTAATGAGGGCTCACAGTGTGCTTTGTACCATGCACCTCCCTACCTGGGCATCTGATGGAGATGGGGCATATCAGTGGGGGGCTGGGGAGGGTCAGGAGGTGAAGGGGTAAGAGTGGCTGTGGACTGCTGTCCATAGGATGGTGTGGGAGAGGGAGTTTCCCCTCGGGATGGAGCGGCCAGGCACCCTCCACTAGAGCTGGGCTCAGGCAGGTGGCTTCTCTCAGGCATTGGTGGGCACCACTCCTCCAGCTCTGAACTGGGGGCAGAGAGGCAGGAGGGAAGTTGGCAGTCCTGCTGCCTCTTTCCCTTCCTCTGCCGGCATCTCTGATCCCCGTCAGGAACCCTGGGGCTGGTACCCGGCGTTAGAGCCTCTGCAGCCAGGAACATCCTTACCTTCCCTCCAGCTCCTCTGTAGGCCCCTCCAGGCAGGTCAGTTCACAGGAAGGGGGAGGTGGGGGCAGGGCCTCTAGCCAGTTCAGAGAAGGCATCTGTGTAGGTTTTCCCAGGAGCTTCACTTTGCCTCCCCTGCCTCCTGAGGACAGTAGGATGGTGACAACCCCAGGACAAGCAAAAAAGAGCCAGAGATGAGACATGTCAGAAGAAAGGGCTGGGATTTCAGATGCCCTTGGTACCATATACCTCTACCTCCATCAGATGCCCAAGTAGGGAGGGATATGGTACCAAGCACATTTCGAGCTCTGCATGCCTGAAGGTCAGGGAGCAGATAGGCTTTGTTGTTGTTGCTGCTGCAGTTTTGGGCCAGGGCCAGGTTTGAACCCTCCACCTCCAGTCCTTGAGCCACAGGTGCTGTCCACGTAGCAGATACTCTTTGGGGATACTCTTGTCAGGGCTAAAATGGGGGTGTTAGGAGTTGGAGTCATACCACTGTCTGCTTGGCTCCACTCTGGAGGGGCATACTGGCTCCAGGTGCCCAGATCCCCTGAGGGATGCTGGGGGAAGCCCCCATGGAAGGTCTGAAGCTCCTCCCCAGCTGGGTCGATGGTGCTGTAGACAGGACCCTCACCAGGG